ATATATATATATATATATATATATATATATATATATATATATATATATATATATTTTACCTTTTGTACTATAAAATGAGAGCCATGGGCACCACATCACAGGGCTGTTGAGCAAGAGAAATGGTGTAAGCCTGGACTGCTTTCAGGATTCCGCAAATGAGGAAGCTGGACATGGGGGTACGTTCGCACCTCCCGTGTCAACTGCTACAGAGACCGGTACAAGACTGAGCCTCGAGGCCCAGACCAACCTGAGCAATATAGCGAGACCCTGACTCAGAACAGAAGTTCTGTCTGATTGGTGAGGCCATTAATGAGACTCCGTTTTCCTCGAGGCCAGGATCCTGCAGTTCTGCCAACCCAGGGGTCAAAGTAGTTCCGTATATTGACTTTCAAGTCTGGCCTGGTCCAGTCTAGAGCTAAACTATTACCCAATAATTTATGTTCTTACATTCACGTGGGGTGTCGCTATAACAGGAAAGGAAAACAATGTGAAGAAAAACAAACCAAAATATTTCATTGTAACTTAATTAATTCCCTAGACAGTGGCTCGTGCACACATGGGTGGGTGATAGTGAGGGAAAGGGCACATCAGGACAATTGTCCTCACTGATGAACGTAGACATGTCAGCAAAGTCAAACCTTTCAGGCCACTGGAAATCTTGAACACAATATTGACCAAACCAGGACTTTGAGTACAAACAAGTATAAGGTTTATTTTTATTTGTTTATTTTTGCTTAAAAAAATCATAGCTGTAAATTTTAAAGATTCATTTTTAAACTCTTATTTAAAAATTTAAAATTTAATTTTTTATTTTTATTTATGTGTCTGTGCATTTGTGTGTAAGCCACCGGTACACAGATGCCTGTGGGAGACAGAAGAGGGTATCGGATCCCCTGGAGCTGGAGTTAGGTTTTATTAACTTTGATAGACTGAAGAATGAGGTACAGAGAACTTTCCAGAAGTTCGAGTGTGGAGCACAAGTCTAATGTGCTTTGAGCCCTATTATTGTATTGGATTGACCACACTGTGAAATCTTTCAACTTGGTTGATGAAACAGGACATAGCTGATGACACAGGACTGACCTCAGGGAGGTGCTTTCATGGCTGTATAATAAAGTGCTTCAGGTACATGCAAAAGAAGGCAATGCAGTACAAAATAATCTCACATATTTTAAAGAATAGAAAAGACAATTTCGGCACAGTAGGAAGGGAGCCCTTACTTAAAGAACCTTTAGCTGTTTGTTTTATAATACCTGACTACATAGTTTATCTTTTTTTTTCTTTTATTCAAGAAAAAAAAAATGTCTGTTGCCAATGTGTTTTGTTTATTTTTCCCCTGTAGTACTGGGGATATGAACTCAGGGCTTCCTGCCTGCTATGCCCTCGCTGTTCCCTGAGGGACAGCCTGGTCCTACTGTTGCTGGTCTACAGCTATCCTCAGGCCCTGTCACCAGAATCCCTGCAGAGTTCATTAAAAATACATATGCTTGGCCCAACGTCCAGAATTAAAATAAAAAACATAGTACCAAGCACCTAAGTTTCTGAAGGGCCTGTAGGGCATTCTGAGGCATACCAAAGTTGCAACCCATTTCTATAGAGGGAAAGAATAAATCCATGTATTAAACATTATTTTCACCCTCAGACATTGCTCTTAGGGTTAAATAAGGTTGCATGAGAGTGTCAATTTCTCTTTGCCCTGTCCTTTCCCACCTCTTATGGAATCAGAGCATCTTTTTTTAGGACTATCCATGAATTAAAATGCAAGAGTGGAAAAGCCCAAGAGAAACCACCACAGACATCGTTTGGAAGACATGCAAGGCCTTGCAACCCATTCCCACGGCACTCAGAGCAAATGGATGCTTCCCACTTGCCAGACGGAATGGTTCAAAGGTGTGTTTCCAGGCTGGAAACCAGCAAATCGGCAGCTCTCAGGAGACATCAGCAGAAGTAAGGTCCTAGGAGCAGAAAGGCTGCTGGAGGAATTGAGCAGGTTCATACGCAGTGGACGCCAAATGCCCCATGGTGCATCTTCAAGCACAATGAAAACAGAGAACCGACAACAAAGAGCTGCGATTTAAAATGTCTAAAGTCTTCAAGGTCTTAGTGATGCGTCACCACTTTCATTTCCAGAAAGGAGTTTGCTCAGTGTCCTCTCTGGACTTGCAGTTCTGACGGTCGAGGAGACGGTAATTACTCCTCAGGGGTCGTCACATGTACCCTGTTATGAGGAGTGCACGGTTTAAGACAGGACGCCCTGAGCACCTTGCAGTAGAACTCACGGGAGAGTAGAGACGTCTTCACCCAGAGAAAACTTTGTGAGGCTAGTCGACAGTTTAACAACCTGAACTTACGAACAACAGTGAAACAGAACGGCCCCACTTCTGTGGGGGGAAGGGAATACAAGGGATAGAGGTTATACACACAGTACATAAGAACAGGTATGTGAAAATATGTTCTCCCCTTCAGAGTCAACTGGAGAAGTTTTACTGTAAGGTCTTGACTCTGGAGAACCTGCCTAGCAATTTATCACATACATACATACATTGCTGTATGGTATAAAGTAAAGAGAGAGAGAGAGAGAGAGAGAGAGAGAAAATAATGCCTTAATATCCCTCTAAACATTAGAGGCAACTTTATAAAAAAAGGTTGTTGGCGCCGGCTTTGGGAGTTTTTGGTTGCATGTTTCCCAACAGGGCAAGGCAGCCAGCAGCAGGATGAAGCCTCCCAGCAGGACACAGAAGCCGCTGAAGTAAAAGGCGATGTCATAGGTCTGGGTCCAATCATAGAACCAACCTGCGAAGACAGTGAGTAAAACAAAGTGAGTTTCCTAGAAGCAGTGCGCATGCTCCCACCTGCTTCCAACAAGGCAGGATGCGTCTTAAGAGAGGAGTCTTTTAAATATTTGAGGCGGGTATTTTAGCCAGAGGAGGCATACCAGCTTTCTTAACTATAAAGCAGGAGTGTGTGTGTGTGTGTGTGTGTGTGTGTGTGTGTGTGTGTGTTGAGGCAGGGTCTCATGTAGCCCAGGCTGGCCTAAAACTCACCATATTCCAAAGACGAGTTTGGACTTCACACTTTAGATCCCCCCAAGTGTTAGGGCTCACAGGTGTGGGCTACCACACCTGGTCTTAGAGCTGGAGAGTAAACAGGGCCTCCTGCATGCTGGGCAAACCCTCTACCGACTGCCCACCGACCCGGCCCTATCAGAATACTCTCGAATACACTACCACGAAAGAACCCATTTTACTCTGTGCAAATCTACGTTGTTACCGAGAAGGTCCCCATCTGGAAATACCACAGCGAGGTACGATAAACTGAGCATCTTACCAACTATGGGTGGCCCGAGGCTGTTCCCAAGTCCGGCAAAAAACATGAGTATTCCATAGGCGTGGGCTAACCTGTCAATCCCCACAGTCTTCGTGGTCACATACGGGAAGATGGACCAATTGCCGGTAAGAAACCCCAAGATGGCAGAAAGGATCGCCAGGGTGGCATAACTCTTGGCCAGGGGGATTGCGCACAAGGCCAGGCCGGTGATGATCAGGGTAACCACGTAGAGATACAACGTGTTGACCCACTTGAAGTCGGCCAGGATGCCCAAAAGAAGCTTGCCCACGGCTGTCATGATGCCGAAGATGGAGATGAGAGGCATGCTGAGATCCTCTTCCCTCACGTTGGAGCTTCTCGCTACGTCCTCCATGAGCAGCGAGGGTGGAAACCCTCCGATGTCGAAGAGCAAGATGGAGATGAAAAGGGCGGAGAAGACTTTGTTTTTGAAGAGAGACACGGTCTCGCCGCAGTAGTCCCTGTACAGCTGCCATTTCCTCTTGGCAAGCTGCTTGCAGAAGTAAGTCTGTGCCACGACCTTTTTGTACGGCTCGGGCTCCTTGGTGCGCGCGGCCGCGGTCCGGCTTTTAGGGAGGGGGGTCTCCCGCCCCCAGTCACCGCTGGGCAAGGCGCTGTTGCACCTATCTTCGCTCCCGTAGCCCTTGTCCAGGTTGTTCAAGTTTTCTTCCAGGCTCTTCTCTTTCTCGCTGTACATGGAGTATGTGTCTGGCACATTCTCGGGGGCTGTCTTTGCGGGGAGAGGGCCGTCGGGGGACTGCAGGGGCCTCATCAGACTGCCGCAGGCTAGGATGTTTAAAGCCAGCGCGCCCACGATCAGCAGGCACCCATCCAGGCCGTAGAGCTCGATCAGGACCTTCTGCAGCGCCGCGTAGATGAACAGGCCCACGCTCGAGCCTGCAAGAGAGCGAGACCCTCTCAGCCTTGATCCGCTCATTCTTTCACAGGCTTAGAACACCCGTGGGTGGCACCGCGACCACGCTTACCATCTACCGTGGTACTCACGGGACCTTTATGTTAAATCCACCAAAAACCACTCAGATGACAGTATAACAGGGCCTTCAGGACTCCCAGCCTCAGAATCAGCACTCAAAGACCCTGTTTACACTTAGGACTTATTTTGTTTGTTTGTTTGTTTGTTTAAAGGATTTTTAATTTTTTTATTTTTCTGTATGAGGGTTTTCCTTGCACTGTTATATGTGCAACACATACGCACAATTCCCATGGAGGCCCAGCAGAGAGTACTGGACCCTCTGGAACTGGAGTTAGAGACAGTTATGGGCTGCCATGTGGGTGTCAGGAACCGAAGTCTGGTCCTCTGCAAAAAGCCAGCGCCCTTAACCACTGAGCCACCTCTTTAGTCCCAGGATTATGTTTAAATATGTGCATGTGTGTGTGTGTGTGTGTGTCTGCGTCTGTAGGTCAGAGAACAACAGCTTTATGGATTCTTCTCCTTCTACTATGAGGGTCTTAAGACTTGAACTCAGATCCTCTGGCTTGGCAGCAAGTGCCTTTACCTGCTGCACCATCTTGCTGGCCTTTATATCTTTAACAAACACTTCTGACTCCATTTTGCATTCATTATGCACTGGGCACGCTGCTTTCTATTGCCTTTGTAAAAGCAAATTTTTACATCTCCCTTTTAAGATGGCTGCTGTAGGTTAGTTTTATTTATAATGGTTTGGATCATTTAAACGCATTGCTGAGTCACTGGAATGAGTGGTTTGTATTCTTGATCCACCAATAGTAGTGTAAGACAAGGCTAACGTAGGATTTGATAGAGTTATCTCAATTACAGTATGCTGGCTTATACATCACACAGGGGGAAGGGGAAAGCGCCGGGTCTTTAGCATTAATCTCCCTAAGTACACTGCAATGCTGTTTAATTTATGCTGTTCTTGTTGGGTTTTTACTTTAATTCTTAAAAAAAAAAAAAAAAAAAAAAAAAAAAAATTAATATTTAAAAAAATTTAAAAATTTTTGGGAAAAATTAAAAAAAAAAAAAAAAAAAAAAAAAAAAAAACCTGAGTATTTAAAAAATTTAAATATCGCTGGGAAATGTCGTATGAAACAGCAGGAAAATGTAAACAGGTTAATTTTTTAAAATTCTGAATTAAATGATCGTCACACACATTCTCTAAAAACTCATCTCATCAAAAATGGTCGTAACAAGGACCGGAGAGGTACGGCACGGTTAAGAACACTGGCTGCTCTGGCAGAGGACCCAGATTCGGTTCCCAGCACCCGAGTGGCAGCTGGCAACCATCTGGAACTGCAGTTCCAGGTGGAATCCAATGCCCCCTACCGGTCCCCTCAGGCACTGCATGAATGAGGTGCACACAGACACACAGGCAGGCAAAACACCCGCACACATGAAATAAAAATAATTCAGAAACAAATCCAACCCCTTCCCTACCTTTGAAAGGTTGTGCATACTTCAGCAGCTAAAAACAGTTCAAAAAACAAAGAAGGAAGCAGAATGGGGGAACTTCAAGCCAGCTGTTCTGTTTCTTTACCCATGACTTTTGTCTAACCTGTAATAAGAGTGTAATAAGATGTCACAGCATTAGACACTAACTGTGTTCCTTCTAAAAGATTTGAATTTCTTTTGTATGAATGTTTTGCTTACATGCCTGTTGGTGTACCACATGTGTGCCTGGTGCCTGCAGAGGACAAAGAAGGCATTGGATCCTCTGGGACGACAGTTACTTATGGGTTTGCCCTGCCATGTGGATGCTTGGGACTGAACCTGGGTTCGCTAGAAGAGCAGCCATGTTCTTAACTGCTGAGCCATCCCTCCAGACCCTTCAACATATCCTCAATGTTCTAAAAGTTCTGCTTTGAGAGAGATGGACCAGCAGAGAAAGGCCCCTGTCAGCACACCTGAGGACCTGTATCTCATATGGTAGAAGAAGAGATTCAGCTTTGGCAAGTTTTCCCATGACCTGTACATGAGCTGTGTGTGGCAAGTAGGTTGTGCATACACACCCACGCACACACACCCGTGTGCACACACACGAGTAAAAAAATACAATTTAAAGTTGCAAGTTCTGATCTTAAGTTCTAAGCTTTGATCTTAAGTTGAGAAAGAATTGCCATTGCTCACCAACAGAGTTCATCTGAATGATATCAAATCATTTTGGCAGCTATGATTGAACGGCTACAACATACTGTGTCACGGGATGGGCTGAATTCTGTCTCAGCCTGAATCCCCTGAGAACATGGCTGTGACTCAGAGAAGTGTAATAATTCTTTAGGAACCAAGCTCTCAGTGTTCTCACGGAGTTTTGGAAAATGCAAAGCTCTAATTTTTAGTCTGCAAGAACATCTTAATTGAAAAATAGTCAATGTAAAGAGTAAAGTGAGAAAAAAACACTAATTATGCTTTCATCGGAGCCTAGACTTTACGCTGCCACAGAGAGGAAAAAAATAATTGGTGTTTAGGGAATCGTATGCAGTAAGAGACACACATATGTGTTAATTAGCTCATCAATACCAGTTCTTCCAAGCTTCTTTGTAAGAGGCCAGGGAACAAACATTTAAGACACCGTGAGCTATACATCACCTGTCTGTCCTCGGTACTGAGTTCTCCCGGTGAAACACCAAGCAGCACCAGGTAGCAGGGCTGTTTAAGAACACTCAGTTTCCCCAAATGTTTATATTGTTTTCCTTCTTAAGATGGGGTAAAAATGGAAAAAAAACACGCTTATGCAATGTACAAAAAAAGAGACAGTGAAGCAGACTGGGCTGGAAGCCAGTTTTCTAACTTCTGTTCACCACCAAGGAAGATCACAGCCCACACACAACCTTCATGGTCTCATTGCTTTGATACAGGGTCCCCCAGTGCACTCAGAGCTGACCTTGAACTCACATTCCTCGTGTCTCAGCCTGCTAAGTGCTGGAACGGCAGGGGTACATCACCATGCCAGATTAAAGCCTCTGTAGTACAATTACATACCTACATTTCACCCTTTTCAGTTGGGTGGTTGTATTTCAAGTAATTGGCTCGGGGTCTCTCTTTTTGAACAGCTTTTAGCGCGACTCTGCTTTGCTGTGATCTCCTTAAATGAGGGGGGATTCAAGCCTGCTCCACTTTCAACTCCCCTGGCTCTCATGGATTGATATTGAAAGGGCCCTTTACATCTTGACTATCCACGGTTTTGCGTTTTTTTTTTATTTGCTCTGCTATAGCAAAGCCCCTCTGCCTGGCCCTCTAGACCAAGGGCAAAGCAAGAGCCACACCACAGCAGGAACTTTCCAGTGTCTTCAGTACCAGTAATCGGGGCATGATGGGATATTTTGGCCTCAGTTGCAATCACTAGCCCTCCTACAAAAGTCTGTGTATTGTGTTTGCCTTGAGAAGCCCCATAACCCAAGTGATGCGAGACTAGCAGCAGGAGGCAGGAGAGGCAGTTAAAAACACTTCCTCAGGCGCCACGAGTGGAGGTGGACACATGCCCCCATCCCTAGCCAGGAAGCCACCTCCAATTGATAACCACTTGCAAATGAAAAGTTAGGTTTCTCTTGCAGATGCCAATATAAAAACAAACTCACTGGTATTTTTGGAGGTTTTTTGGTGTTGTTATTGTTGTTGGTTTTTATTTTGATTTTGTTTTTTGTTTTATTTTTGTTTTGTCTCATAATACTTTGTCTGGGCTCTTCTTTTTCTTCTCTTCCTTTTTTCTTATGCTACAAATCATTTGCTTATATATTATGGCTTATGGTTTTGTGTTTTTAGTGGATTTCCTTGCACACCAATGTGTGAATCTCTGTGTCTGTAAGTGTTTCTTGGCCTCTTCACTGGCCCTTTGTTTTTCTTTTATCCTATTTAGGTTGGTTTTTATTTTATCTTATTTTATGATTTTTTTTTTTTTACTTATTTTTTCTTGAATGCCTTTTTGTTTTCTAATGAGAGAGAACAAGAAAGGATGTGGATTTGGGTGTGTGGGGAGCTATCGGGAATCAAGGAGGGGCTGGGGAAGGGGGAACCATAAAAAGAATATATTGTGTGAAAAAAATCCATTTTCAACTTTAAATAAAGCCCTTCCTGCTCTTGTAGAAGACTTGGGTTTTCATTTGTGGAGAACATGTTGGCTGGCTCGCAACTGCCTATACTTCCAGTTTCAGGGACTCTGACGCCCTCTTCTGGCATCTGTGGGCACTTGCACTCACATGCACAAACTCACACAGAAACATACTGGTAACTAAGTAAATCTTCAAGAAGTCTGGCTCCAGGGTGTGTGTGTGATAACTGCTTTTTAAACACACACACACATTTCTGGTTTCTATATCACAATTATTTCACACTTGTGGGTGATATTGACAGGTGTTTTAAGCTGCATTCCCGCTGCTCTGGATACCCCACCCTCTGTCTTTTGTGTTCCTTCTCTGGTTTCTGTCGGCCATCTGCTCAGATTCCAGCCTCACCTCCTCCTGGATGTCCACACTTCCTACCTAGTTGTGGGACTTCCTTAGGCAAGTTGGGTCAATATCCGACTTGATTATCCTTGTGGACCTTGGTTAGCCTCAAGAACAAAGCATCGGTGTGGATCTGAGTGCCGGATAGCCACTGAGGTTTGGAGGCCTAGCTGAGCCAGACTTCCCAGGACCCTGTGCCCACTAACAACTAGCTTGGGTGAACTGATACTGGCTGCTAATTTAGCAGCTCAACCACAATCCCAGTGGTTCTGAACCTCCCTAATGCTGTGACCCTTTAGTACAGTTCTTCATGTTGTGGTTGGACCCCCCCACCATAAAATTATTTTCATTGCTAGTTCATAACCCTAATTGTGCTACTGTTATGAACTGTAACGCAAAGATCTGATATGCAAGATATCTGATATCAGTCCCCGTGAAAGGGCCAGGGAAGCCCCTTATAGGGGGTATAGGACCCACAGGTTGAGAACCACTGCCCTAAACTGGCTGATAAAATGTTGGACACAGAAATGGATACCATCTTAACATTTTAAAAACAAATCCATCTAAAACAGGAACTCACATTTCAAAATACTGGAGGAGCCCGGATAGTATATTCAAAACTTATATATGTTTTTCTTTTTTGTTTGTTTGTTTATTTGTTTGAGACAGGTTCTCACTATGAGATAGCCCAGGCTGGCTTCGTGGTCACAAGCCTTCATCCCCAAACACAAGTGAGGAAGACATACACTACCACACCTGGCTTAAAATATACATGCCATTTTACACCTTCAGTGATCGTATGTTAGCTATTAAAGAGGTGAGAAGAGTGTGTGTTGCTTGAATGTGTAGTTAAGTCAGAGATCAGGACCTTAGATGGGTTATAAATACTACAGTAAGTGGCATGGCTGACCTCAGACTCTCCGACAGTGGCTGAAGGGCTCTCTGCTTCCTTCCTGTTCTTCCTTCTTCCCACAGCAGGTAATTTTAGAAGGATTCTCAGCTTTTCACCCAAACCTTCTCCCAGCATAGAGCTGCCACCACCGTGGGCCCAGACACTTCCTCTACCTACATCACACTGAGGTCCAGTGCTCACATTTGCCATTTACAGATCTTGGGGGCTGGGGGATGTTCTTTGTGTGTGTATGTAGGTTTGGTTGTGTGGGTTTTTGCATGTGGATTTTTGGTTTTGTTTGTTTGTTTGTTTGTTTGTTTGTTTTTTCAAGACAGGGTTTCTGTAGCTCTGGCTGTCCTGGAACTTGCTCTGTACAATAGGCTGGCCTGGCCTCAAACTCCGAGAGATCCACCTGCCCCTGCCTGGAACTTAAGGTATGCAGTATCACCTCCTGGTTCAGACCTTGGGGTTTATGAAAGCTATTTCCATATTTCTGGTAGGAAATAAACTTTCCTTCTAGGAGTGCTGTAAAATAACCATTTTGCTTGCTGATTGGTAGCTGAGGTTGGCTGCCAATCACACGTGTTTCACACACCTTTTCGCTCTGCTCACAACGTTAACTTGCAACAATGCTATGCTTAATTTTGAAAAGGTACCTGTTGAAATCAGGCCAAGTGCGAGGCCTCGGCGGCTGTCAAAATACTGGCAAGTAATGGTCACTGTCGCAGTGTATAATAAGCCACATCCGAGACCTGAACACAAGAAGACAGCAGGAATTCAGGCACGTGCACAATTTCAATGGAAAAGAGGAGAGTGAAGGGTCCCTGCTAGGAGGCTTTGAAACCAACTGAATAAAAGCCAGAGTTCTGAGACCCCTCTGTATCAGTATTGTGGACTAAGTGGACATTTGGGGAGCATCATTTTTCCACCACCTTAATATCAGGGTCAAGTTTAAAGAGTAGCCCAATTTCTGAAGCATAAAAGAATAATTCACATGTAACTGGAGACACAAGGGAGAGACTGAGGAAATGGTTAGGCCGTACACCAGATACCAAAACTTAATCACGCCTGCCTCTCGGGTTGCCATCTCTTCTAAGTCCTTGCAGTGACTCAACTTTAAAGAAATACTTTACTCGTATTTAAGTGTATGTGTGTCAGTGTATGCACGCGTGCGGAGAGAGGTGTCCCTGGAGGCCCAAAGAGAGAACTGGATTCCCATGCAGGTGGTTATGAGTTAACCAATGTAGGTACTCGAATTGAACTCAGGTCCTCTGGGGGAACAGCCTGGGCCTCCTAACCACTGAGCCATCTCCGCAGTATTCCCAGAACACTTCTAAGCTCCCTGTTCTCACCCTACGCTATTCTGCTGCAGTTTATCTTTCACACCCCAGTCAGCAAAGCTCTGAAGGAATTGCTTGGGATTTCACATCATCCCAGCACCTTAAAACTTGTATCTGTAAGCCCCCCAACCCCACCCCACCCCGTGTTTAGAGATGCTGTTTCCTGTTCAACAGCAAAATACAGTGACTATGTAGTTTCAGCTAAAGCAACTTTGGAGAGGAAGAAAAGGACACAAATACAAGTGTTAAAAGAATCAGGCACGTGGTTGCTTGCAGTGATATTCTCTGTCTTTCCATAGATTTTAATTTCTCCGTAATTTAAGGAGATCTTGCAGCTACCTTAGTCTTCTTGAGTTTCAAGGGTAAGACTTGTCGCTTGGGCGTTCCTAGCTTGTTGCCTTTATCATTCAGTCTCTATTAATACTGGTAAAATCTGGTCCTATCTGTTTGTTCTCCACTAGCGTCTCATTCGGCTCCCCTGCCTTTACTTTTCACCTTTTTCTGCTGTGTTATCTGGTCTTGAAGACCACTCTGAAAATAACACTTAAGTCGTTGACTAAAAATGAACCACTGGCTCATTAAAAGCACTAAGATCATTTTCATTGCTTAACTACCTAGCCTCTCACTAAATAGATGCCGTGGTTTTAACAAACACACAAGTAAGCATTTAGGAAGTCAGTGCTCAACCACACATGGTAAGGCTCAAGCTGGCCTCAAATGTCCAGCCCTCCTGCAGGAGCCCCCTGCACACTAGCACAGCCGATACGCACTACCATACCCACTGAGGTGGTGACAATAACAAAAATGGTTTTAAAATAAACTGTGTTACCATTTTAAGGTTCTTTTATTTCTCAGAAAAAACAATATTTTTCGAACCAGCAGTTTACGGTATTTGAATATAGTTCTTCTCCAAGCACCGAATAAACAAACAGATCCAACATCACAAAGGATGGAAGTATGCTGATGAGGCATGGCATTCTGCATCACAATTTGGGAAGCCATCTCCTACCAAGTTCTGCTACAGTATCAAAGAGAAATATCTACAGTTACTTGAAAAGATAGCCTTTTCCCTGGGGGCGGAGAGATGGCTTAGCTATTAAGAGAGCACTGCTCTTGAAGAAAACCCCGGTCCAGTTCCCAGCACCCACTTTAGGCGGCCTACAACTGCCCAATTCAGGCTGCTGGGGATATGACTCCCTCTGCTGGCCGCTGTGGGCATCTGCACCCACTTGTACATAACTACATAGAGACACATACACATAATTCAAAATAAAACAAATCTTAAGGGAAAGACTTTTCCTTTAACTTAGACTGGGGCCTCTGAGCGGATTGCTAAACAAATGCTTTTCAGTTTATCTTTTAAGGGGTAAGAGAGCTGGTTCCATGATTAAGAGCACAGACTGCTCTCACAGAGGACCTGGGCATGGCTCATAGCACCCATAGGCAGCTCACAACTGGTTATAACTCTAATCATGGCAGATCTGACACCCCTGGCCTCTACAGGCACCCATACACATATAATGCATATAAACTCATGCAAACACATGCACACATACACATAAAGAAACAAATAAAGAAATAGCTGGATGTGGTGGTGCATGTCTTTAATCCCAATACTTGGGAGGCAGAGGCAGGAAGATCTTTGTGACTTCAAGGACAGCCTGGTCTACAGAGTGAGTTCCATGACAGCCGGGGCTACATAGAGAAACTTTGTCTGGAAAAAAAGAAAAATAAACAAATAAATTAAAAATAAACTTACCTTTTAAATTTGTATTTATTATCTGTTAAGATTTATTTTATTTTTATATGTATTATGTGTCTGTGTGTTGGCATATGGTGGTCATGCTATGTCTGTATAACTGGTTGAGCCCAATTGCCCTGTGAAGGTAAGACCAGGGCCTCCAATCCCATAGAAGTGGAATTACAGGCAGCTGTGAGCTGCCGGCTGTGGGTGCTGAGAACTGACTGTGGGCCTTCTGCAAGAGTAATGCATACTCTTAAAATGCTGAGACATCTCCCCAGCCCCAGGTGTATTATATTTCATATGTGATATATTAAACATAATACAATAAATAAATGTATAATCCATACCATCTAAAGTTCCTGAGGGTTCTAAGTAAGAAGATTAAGAAGGCTTGAGACCTTAACATTTCCAAACTATTGTCTTAAAGCATTCCCTGGCGGCCAATCAGTTTTGATCAAATTCTAGCAGAGAGAAAAAAAAAAAAAAAAAAGAAAAAAAAACAAACTTCTGAGAAGCATAATAATTTTAACATCAAATAAGCATATTTGGGCAAATTCAGCCAATGTCAGGAACATCCTGTTTTTTCTCCTAGATTTTAGGAAACCTGTATAAGGGACTAAGAAGAGACAGAGGGGAGGGAGGAGGGGAGGAGGTTGAAGGAACTGTCTGATGCATATATGTGATGTATGATATAACAGTCCACACATAGCACCGTGCCATGTACGATGAAAGGACACAATGAACACTTCAAAGCCTGTGGTGCTGAGTATTCGAGGAATAAACCCAAGTGAAATGAAACAACTCCCCCCTTTGTTTAGACAGGTGAACATGAAATGTAATTCAGCGGCCTAATGATTCTTGTTCACCTATGATGTGCTTGTTCATTTACATCTGGACGAGACCCAAATGCAGCATCTTTCTTTTTAGTAGAACCCCACCCTGTGAAAGTAGAACCAAAATAGAGTAGTTTTTATCAAGCCACAAAACAAAATAAAGACACACAAATACATAAATACAGCTGGGAGGTAAGAAGAACAGCATCTTGGGCATATGTCCCTGATAGTGAGAGCTAGCAAAAGCCTTTCACAATTGACTCTGCAAACTATGACTCACACAGAAGCCATTACAAACACACACACACACACACACACACACACACACACACACACACACACACCACTTTCAACAAGAACTTCTGCCCAGCAAGTTTCATTTTGGACCAAGGCCATCTTTCAATCGATCAGGGTAGCCAAGAATTTTTGCTTCAAAACAGCTTAGATAATTCCCTTTATCTCACCTTTACAGACTTCCTTAAACACACCCATCATTTCCTAAGGTGTGTGCATTCTGGCTGCTATGCTCTTCAGTCGTTCAATAAACAGGGATGGTCTTTGAAGACTCTCCCGCTGTTATTCAGCGACATGTAACCCAGATCCTAAGCTCTTTCTCACACCCACTGGACATGGGACCTGCCTCTAGCTGCCAGTTCACCTCAGAGTTTCTCACCTGAATTCTGACCTCCTCGTAGCTCCCTGAACCTGTAGCACAGTTCCTGTCCATCTAAGCTGCTGTCCAATGGTGTCCATCACTTCTTGTTTGTGTGATTGAAAATTACAAAAGATGCAACATTTTTTTCCCATAGGGCTTCTCTCAGCTGCTCTGACATATTTGCAGATTCCCAGATGATATATGTATTTCTTTACACATCTTTGTAGGAAGAGGCTGCTGTTGGGGCCTGGAACACCGGCTGCTCTCCCAGGAACTTGGGCTTGGTTCATAGTGCCCAGACCAAGGCAGCTCACAACCACATGTAACTGTTGCCTTCTTCTGGCCTCCACCAGCACTATATAAACACACACACACACATACACACACACACACACTCTCTCTCTCTCTCTCTCTTTAAAAGGACGCTGTTTGTTAGCTGTCCTATTCCGTTCTAAGCTCCTGGCTCTAGGTGTCTGCCACTACCCCTACTTCTTCCCCTGTTTGCACCAGCTGGCCACATCCCACCTGTCCTTGAAGACTGAGGTCACACTGTGGTTCCTGCAGTCCAACTCTGCACAATGCACACGGGATAGCAGTGTGGGGCACTGGTTTCACTTTGTCATTGGCCTTGCTTTTGCTGTGTGGCAAGCTACACGTCTATAAGCCTGTCCTTCTACCCAGATAACCAGCTCCCTGACTCACTAATTATCTCCTCTGACCTTTAGCATAAGCACATAGGATTAAAAGGAATTGAACACGCACACACACATTACCTATACCCAGAACATGCTACCGAAAACGCCCATTGTCTTGGTATTAGCTTCCACCTTTCATCTGAGTCCATGGTATCAAAGACGGAGCCTCCTCAGACAATACTAAAATCCAGAGCTATTAGCCGGACACAGTGGCATACACACATATAATCCCAAAACTAGGGAAACTGAGCCAAGAAGATCTAGAGTTCAGGGTCAGACTGAACCACATCAGGAGATTCTGCTTCAAAACGAAACAAAGCCCACTAAAAACCATAGTTGCTTAGCACAAGCACACTTTCACATCTTTGGCTGGGCTGGCTGGCATACACCTTTAATCCCAGCACTCAGGAGGCAGACCGCCCACGGCTACACAGAGAGACCCTGCCTCAAAAAAGGGGAGGGAAAATAACTCTCTTTGATAATAAAACCATTTAAATGAGGACGGGGAAAGATACACACAAAGAGTAGCATGATGTTCCTCTTGCTAGTATACAAGAAATGATAATACACAATTTGCATAATTAAAGTAACAGGCTCTGATAAAAACCCATATGACTGTCAGCTAGTGATTTTTAACATCGAGCACATTCAAGTACAATCTATTACAAAGGGATGGTCACAAAACAGTCAGTGGTCCAGGCCCTAAGACTCTACGCTTCCCTTGTCTTTCCCTAAGTCACTGTCAGGCATCCCCACTATGCTGTCTCCTTCATGCTCATGCTCTATGTTTAAAACTCTCTTTCTAGGTCTACTGGAACATCTGGATTCAGTGCTGGAAATAAACTGAAACTCTGCCGAAGGCCCAGGAGCAAACAGAAAGAAATGACCAATGTCAGGAATACCTGAGTTTACATTCTCCTGCCTCACTTTTCCTTGCTGGTGGTCTGTAGAGATGAGCACTTGAAATATCTTCCTTGATATGCCTCCCTTGATGGGAGCATAACGGGACTGTCAAAATGGTCTTTCTTGGGCTAGAGAGATAAGGCCCATCGCTCTCACTGGCTGCTCTTCCAGAAGAGCCAGGTTAATTTTTCAGCATCCACATAACTATACCTCCAGTTCCAAGTGGTCATTTTCTCTCTTCTGACTTACATGAGCACCAGGCATATACATGGCACACAGATACCCATGCTGGCAAAACACGCATACGCATGAAATCAAAAGAACAACAAGAAGTTAATTCGGTTAACACGTCCAGTGCTTTGATTGGCCGGGCAGGACAGACAGTCCCTTGGGCAACAAGTTTTAGAGAGGTGATCACTGAAAGTAAGGTATTAGTGAGCATTTTTACTCCCCAGAGTGACTTAATCATAGGTGGCATCAGTGACGTGATGTGGACCTGGAGTTAGAAGACTCGTGGGGACCAGGTTCCTTACCTACGACGATGCCATAGGAAAAAAGCAGAAAGCAGATGTTGGGGGCAAGACTGCTGAGGATCAGGCCTCCGGCCACCAGGAAGCCACTGAAGATCGTGACGGGTCTTGCTCCAAAAGTTGAGACACAGACACTGCAGACAGGACCTAAAAGAAATTGAGACCTTCATTTGTGTGGCAGTGACCCCCTTCCTTACAACCACATGACCTGTTCATCATCATTTCAAAATGATTACATCATAATACAACACAGAAAGGCAAGATCTACAGTTCTGAGCATCTGCTGCATGCTAGACATTTACATGAGTCGCTCCACCTAACAGACACTCCACTTTAGTTTTTGAAGCCCTGGAAAGTAGATGCTGCTATTATTCCCATTTTTGAAAGAAAATTAAAGCATGGTGAGTTCAGTGTGAAGAAAGGTGAGTATTGGCATCAAACTTGTAGAAGGAATCTCTTGTGTCTGTATAGAAGCATCACCTGTCAATAAAAAGCTAATGACCTATAGCTGAGGCAGGAACTAGGAGGTAGGACATCTGACAGGCAGAAAGGATTCTGGGCTAGAGCCAGCCTAGGAAGGCAGACATATGGTACCTGAGTACAGGTAATCAGCCACGTGGCAGAATGTAGATTAGAATAAATGAGTTAAGTTTTAAGCTAGTCAGAGAAGAGCCTAGCTATATGGTCTAGGTATTTATAAAATTATTTTGAGTCTCCTGAGTCATTATTCTGCAAGCCTGGGGCCGGGAGGAAAAAAAAACCACCACAACATGATTTTGGCTTTCCTTCTTGCTAAGCTGTTGAACCTCCAGCAACTTATTTCTGCTTGCTGAGGCCTAGTTTCCTCATCTGAAAATTGAAATCAAACAGTTGGCACCTCCTGGGGTTCTGTGCATTGTTGACTGATGGGCAGAAATGATGCATGCCTGGATCAATTCAGTGTAAGAAACCACTGTGAAATAGGTCTTGACACAGTGTGTCTCTGAGGTGCTGAACCAGGGGAAGAGCTCAGAATCACAGCACCAAGCAGCTTAGAAATAAAGGGTGTTGGGTTTTTTCGGCCCAATAAGTTCATTTCCCGTGGAAGCTAAAAGAAATTCCAAGAAGATGCCATTTCCAGTCCATGGCAGGACAAAGAGCTTCAAAGTTCGCAGTCCAGAAGGAAGGGAAGTCTAGGCAGGAGCTCACAGCAGGAACCTGGAGGCAGGAACTGAAGCAGAGGTCATAGAGAAATGCTGCTTACTGGCTTGCTCCCATAGCTGGCTCAGCCTGCTTTCTTGAGTCACCCAGAACCACCTGCCTAGGGGTGGTACCATGTATGGTGGGCTGGGCCCTACCATATCAATCATTAAGCAAGAAAATGCCCCCACAACGTTGCCTACAGACTTAGGTGATAAAGCCATTTTCTCAATTGGAGTTCCTTTTCCCAGATGACCCTAACTTATATCAAGTTGACAAAATAGATAAATTAACAAACAAACAAACAAACAAACTAGCCAACATAACTGGTGAGTATGGTTGGTTCACTTTGTACCCTCCAAATGGGACTTTCAATCTATGTTCTTCCATTCACGCGCTTGAGTGTCCCAAGGAAACAGGGTGAGGGATGCAAAAGCGGGACCGACGAATAACGATCTTGACAGATCATGCGCAAACCAACCAAGCGTACCCAGACTTGGTCAAGTCACCCCTTGAAGTCTCTGTCTTAATAAACAAGGGCTCTAATGTGATACCAAATGTGGTTCCCAACACTAAATAAGTCCCAGTTTTCACACGACCATTCTCAAGGGAGACTTCTTATGATGTTTTGAGTCTTTCACTTAGCAGAAAGGACTTTTGGAACAAAATCAGTGTGTCCAAAATATGAACCATTGAAAAGGGTTAAGATGAAAAGGGAGCTTTGCTGGCTGTTCAGTTTGACAAAAAGTGAGATGGAATAACCTGTCAGTGCTAGCCCACTCTCCAGTTAAGGAAGTAATAATAGTCCTCAGAGAGAGTACTGCTTCAAAATGCAACCCAGTACAAGGAGAGGCTAGAGCCCCAGGGAGCCTGTTCTGGCCACCTGTCCTAAATAAGCCATTTAAAAGAGCCAAATTAGCAGTGAAAGTCAAAAGGGGAGAGGGGTAATTAATGTGACCACTGTGGGAAGAAAAACAAAAAGATCTAGTGATCCTCTCAAATTCCCTGGGACTGGGGTCCTGACATGAGGTGGTAGGGGTGGGGTGGAGTTTAAAATAGAAAGCAAGAATTGCATAAAGCAGTGACCTCTGCCCACCACGGTTTTAGCTAAAACCTCTGAGTCTTTCCTGTAAGGCCACCTGACAGGATGTAAATTTTTCTCTGGAGACACATCCCTCCCTCTTCTGGATTCTCCAGGTTGGGCCCTTTCTACTCTCTGTAGGAGGTTCCTGGGGAAATTCTAACTTCTTAGAAGCCATTGTCACAACAGCCTGGTTGCCAAAAAAAGGACAGGAGTATCTCTTAAAAATATTTCCACCCCCCCCCAACAAAAAGGCTGGTTACAGGGTGTGTGGGGATTTCAGAGGAGGAAGGTCACCCTGGGCCAAGGACCTGAGCCTTGAGTGGTCAGGGACGTATTGTTAAAGCCACAAAAAGGACAAAAAAGCATTCCAGATGGAGCAAACAGGTCATGATTATTACCAAAAGCATTGGTGTTCTGTCCCTGCCATAAACACCCAAGAAACACATAGGAAGGAAAGATGCTCACAGTTCCAAAGGTTGTGCCATAATGATGAAAGAAGAAAAGGGGGCTGATACTGTTCCTCATTGTTATTTGCATGGAGGGCCTCAAGGCCATGATTAAGTGTGAGGGGAGTATTAGACTGGAAAACACAGATCTTTACATTACTACTCATAAAAGTAGCAAAATTACAGTTATAAAGTAGCAGTGGAAAGAATTTTTATGGTTGGGGGTCACCACAACATGAGGAACTTGTATTAAAGGGTTGCAGTGTTAAGAAGGTTGAGGACCACTGAAATAAATGGAGATCTGAATGGGACAGGTCCTAAAAGAGAAGGAGAAGCTTCCCTTTAAAACCTGGAGAGGAGTTTCACTATGACTGGGAATGAGGAGAGAGACAGAAAGACAGAGAAAGGGAGAAAGAGACACAGACAGAGAAAGTGAGTGACGACAGGGGAGGCCCCAGAAGCCTCTTCAGAAAGCAACCTCCCAAGTAGCTACCAAGCAAATCCCCCTATGGAGTCCAGGACCAATCCTCTTCAACAAAAACGAAATCTGACTTTTTATGGCCTCTTAGGGATGGCAGGGGAAGTTTTACGTCACATGATTTAGTTCAGTATAGCTTATGTGACAAAGAACATGGAGGTGCCAGGTACTGGATGCTAGCCCTAGGTGCCAGGGCTGCTATTAGGCCATGGCACACACAGCTTCGGGGAGAGCTCAAAAAGGCACAAGCCTGGTGTCTTCAAGCTATGGGAATTAGGCTTTTTTTTTTTTTAAATAATCACTGTCTTTTAAGGTAGGCCATGTTCTAACAGGTTTCAGTCCGTGGTTGGCTGGCTCTACCAGTTCTGCGCCTGAGGTAAGACACGGCATCAGAGCAGAAAGCAAGGGTGAGCCAAGCTGATCACCTCACAACAGCTGGAAAGGAGAAATAGAAAGGGGGAAGGACAGAGAGAAGGAAGGAAGGAGTCCATGCAAGGACAAGATACCCTTTTAAGGAACGGCTCCAGTGACTTGATTTTCCCACCTAGACCCCCCTTCAAGTCTGCACATGTACCCCAAAATAAACCCACTGACTTGAAACCAATCTCCTAAGACACGAGCTTGTGACATTTCAAATCTAGAAGATAAGGAGGGCAAAGTGGTGCATACCTTTAATCCTAGTGCTCTGGAGGCAGAGGTAGGGAGATCACTAGGAGTTTGAGGCCAGCCTGGGCTACATAACAAGTTCCAGGCCAGCCAAGGCTACATAATAAGACTCAATCTCAAAAAAAAAAAAAACAAAACAAACAAACAAACAAAAAAAAAACCAAAACAAGCAAGCAAACAAACAAACAAACAAAAAAACATAATATGCTTTAAAAAAGAAATTATGCCTTTGGGGGGGGGGCAATTATTACATTTCTCTCCCCTAAAATGTTTCTGAGGACCCAAGAATTCAAAGCCATAAGTTAGCCCACATCCAGTGAGAAATAAAACAGAGGCAAACAGGTGTGGACCTGGTATGCAACGAGGATTTCCTAACAGAATGATCCTGGACACGTGAGTGCCTTAAGTCTTTCTCAGTGGTAAGGAGTCCACTTCTCCCTCCTCCCTCCAGCTGACATCACACATCTCAAATTCACCCTAAGAAAGATAACTTTTTTTGATCACTTAAGTATTGACTGACTTTGTTGCCTGGTTGGTTTGTAGATACTTGCACAAAATGGGGAGAAAAAGAGTAACGGAAACCCACTTAGTCACCAGCCCAGAAAGGCCTAGTACAGGGGGGCTGGCCTATGCCATAGACTCCTACAGAAGGATGGAAGTCAGTCCCTGAAGGAGTTAAGGGCGCTTTGTAGCTCAGGGCTAATCCTCAGAGGCAGCCCTGCCAGGGCTCACAAGACTTTGAGCCAGGCGACCTGCCCACAGCCACTTGTCTCCTACTGACTCAGGCTGGCAGTTGGAAGACTGGAGGAATTAGCAAGCAAAACTGGGGGGGGAAAGGGGGGATGTTAAATCTTCCTTGAGCCTCAAACTAAAGGATGAAAGATTCCCCCATTGTTTCAGTGGTGAGGATGGTGTCATTCTCCTCCTTGAACTTGGAGAGGGGCCTGTGGACCAGGGGTTGCGTAAGCACACCTCAGAAAGCTGCAAGGCCATGGCAGCCCTCTGCTTTAGTGACCTTCCACTCCTGCACACATCTGGATCAAGCACAGGAACAAAAACCAACAGAAATCACATACTGAGAGATTTATTGCAAGGGATCTGTGGGCCAAGGGCCAGGCAATACTTGCCTAGATAGACAAGTCTAAGACGGGTAGGGCAAGCCACCAGGAGGGGCAAGCCGGGACTCTCAGGCACAGGCTAAAGCTGCAGGCTGCAGGCTGCAGGCAGAACTGCTTTTTCTGGGCAAGTCCCATTCTTCTCTAGAGTCCACCCAGATTATCTAGGTTAGACTCTT